TCTGTTTTGGAGGTCGTATATTCTGAAACCGGGTCAAATTGGTCTCGTTCCACAGCAAAGATTTGCAAAAAATCGTCTTCAATCTACAAAAGCCTTGAAATGGCTTTCCTGGATGGAGGAAGAGGATAATTGTACAATACAGTCGATGGTATCGGGTACCGAGCATAAAATCGGACCTTACTTTGTAGATGGATACCGTCAAGATACTGGTCACATTTACGAATTCTATGGTTGCTGGTACCATGGCTGCCCTACCTGTGTTGACCAGGAAACAGTGCACCCCTATCGCAATCTTCCCATGAGAGAAATCTACAAAGAAACGGTAGACAGGGAACAATACCTCCGTTTCCAAGGACACACCGTTACCACAATCTGGGAGCACGAATACGACGAAACCGTTAGGACCAACCCGGAAATGCGACAATTCCTTAAAAATGTGACCTTTGTTGAGCCTCTGCATCCTCGTAATGCTTTCTACGGCGGCCGCACGAATGCTGTTCGATTGTTTCATTCAGTTCAGTCAGATGAAAGAATCATGTACTTCGATGTCAATAGCGAATACCCCTTCGTAAACAAGAATCGACGGTATCCCATCGGTCATCCTGTTATCATTACAAAAAATTTCACAGACATTGCCGACTATTTTGGTTTGGCACATTGCACCGTGCTACCACCGGGAGATTTGTGGCTACCAGTACTACCTTATCGAAGTAATGGGAAACTGACCTTTCCTTTGTGTGCGACATGTGTCAATCAGCAAACAATGGAGAAATGTGAGCACACAGACCGCCAACGGGAACTGACAGGTACATGGTGCACACCGGAACTGGTTACCGCAATTAACCGCGGATACAAGGTCACGCGTATATATGAAGTTTGGCATTACGACACCTCTGAAGATCACTTGTTTAAAGCATACGTGGACAAGTTTTGAAAATCAAAACAGAAGCGAGCGGATGGCCTGCCGGTGTTGTTACTGAAACGCAAAAGCGACAGTACATCGAAAATTTCCATCAGCGGGAAGGTGTCCGATTGGAATATGATAAAATAAAGGAAAATCCTGGTCTGCGATCTCTGTCCAAACTGTGCCTAAACAGTTTTGGGGCCGTCTAGGGATGCAGGATAACAAACTCAACACGTTGTACGTTCATGACCCCAAGGAATTCTATGAGATGCTGTACTCAGGAAAATACCACGTTCATTCCTGGGATCTTTTCAACGATGATGTACTGCAACTGACGTACACCAAAGAAGATGGGTTTGTTGAGCAGAATCCTAATACAAATGTGGTCCTAGCTGGGTGAGTGTAAATTTTGAGCATTTGGTACATGTAAAAAAATTATTAAACGATAATGTTCTTTAGCTTCACAACATGCTGGGCCCGACTCCATTTGTACCACTTTATGGATTTGGTGAAAGAGCGACTACTGTACTTTGATACAGGTAGATTACTATTTCAGTGACTTACTTTATTTCCAAGTACAATTCTAGTATTTGCAGATTCTATATTTTTTGTGTCGCACCCCGACTTACCAGATCCCCCCGTTGGGAGCTTTTTGGGTGACCTAACAAACGAGCTCAAACCTGGACAGTTCATTACCGAGTTTGTCAGCTTGGGAGCCAAGACCTACGCCTATGTAACCAACGACGGGAACTCGGTTGTCAAAGTGAAAGGATTTACCATTAATGGTCAGACAAAACAAAAAATCAATTTCCACTCAATGTTGAATATTCTACATGATTCTAAACATATTGATGTGCATTACCGCGATATTATTAACCGTGTGAAATCTAAACTTATTTTGCGCAACACAGACATGATTAAACGCCTGCAAGTCACTTATGACAAGCGGAGGATAACGAAAAACTGGAATACTGTACCGTACGGATACACAGTTGAATAAATTTATTGTGCTTTCATGAAGTTGTGTATCATTTCACCAACCGATTTCACAGCATTTTCAATTTCATCGGCATTTCTAATACCTAAAAAATTACACTTTCCCGAAGAAAACAACACGGCTGTGCATGATGGTAATTTTAAACTCAAACCACTAAACAGCTCTGGAGTATAGGTCAAATCAAACAAACAGCTAAATTTTTCAAGATTTATACAGGTGTTATAACTATGCACAACAACAATATTGACAACTCGAAATCCAGTCGCTTTACATTTAATACCAATAGACTGTAGTAGAGACACAAACCGTTCGACCAAATCTTTTGCAGCAGGCTCTGAACGTGCACCATTTACGGTAATTTTCCCATTGGCGTACAGCTGACAATGCGCTTTGTACGGAGACAAAATGCGGATTAACAATCCAGAAAACTTTCTTGGTATGTATTGCGCCATCGGGACTGACTTCTCAATCTTCGCCAAGTTCAAAGAAGTGTTTAAATCCGCAACGGCAACGACATTCATGATTTTGGCATCGCAGTAGAACCACAAACCAAAACGAATTGCTTTACGCAAAGTCGTTTGCGGCAGGTCAGTCAAGCGTTGATAAACAGGACAACCGGAATCCTCCAGATTAAGAACCTCGGGAACATACTGCTCTAGTAGCCGGCACTTTTCTAAACCTTTGGCATAAAAACCAATTCCGAAGGTCTTCCAATTTTGCGGAAAATATCTTCGAATGCGCAACCGATTTGATTATGGCGAAAATCTCCCTTTGTGCTCCATACCAAACCGTGTGAATGTCGGGCCTGTCTGCACAAATCTCGAGAATGTTTCGAAGCGCTTCGAGGCAAACTGAAGGTGTATTGACCACTAGCGCGCTTCTCTGGGCACGAAAAAGCCAACTGCTTTATGTATTTAACTTTATCAATAACAAACCAGTCCGCGTCCAGAACACATGGCAGCGCCATGATAATACAAGTTAATATACACTACTAGCGTACTCTTATTAGAAACCTTTATGGTCATTTTATGTTACCTAGCACCAGGTGGATATAGTACATGGTACCATGCACTTTGCATGGCACCATGCACCGCAGTAACATAGTACCTGGCACCATGCACCGCGGTAACACGGTACATGGCACCGTGCACCAAGTTGTGTATCTGGTTCAGGTTGGATAGAAAGTAGAATTCATATCTGGTTTACCACCGTCACAAAAGTTTTCATTCATAGCGCGAAGGGATTGAAGACAACTAGCTTTTTTGAATTTTAGTTTTAGTAAAAGTTGGTAATTATCAAGAAAATTTTGTGTGCAATGGACCCGACAGTACCATCAGTTCCACCGTCAACATCAAAACCGGGCAGCAAACGCCGTCGCCCAGATGGTTACGAAATCGGTATGGTTAAACCGAAGTCGGAAGCAACCATCCAACCGCCCTTGGAGGTGCAACCCAAGTACCGGGCTAAACCAGTTGAAGGGCATGCTCGCCTGGCTTTTTTGGAAGCAAGTAATCCAGTTTACCGCCTGGGAAACGATAAATTCGTTCATGTTGGCCGCCAGTGGGGTGACACGAAAGTCTTTATCGGTGAATGGAAGGAGGGACCTGCTGGAAAATGGAAACAAACATGGGGGGAAAATGATCGGTGTTAACAAAAAAAGGATTTTTACGCTTGGCGTCATTGTTGTTGACCGGTAAGGCCGATCTGGACCCAGTGGCCCGTGATATGTCTGCGGAAAGTGGTCGTTTGACCCCGTTATTTCTGTTGGACCAGGGAGTGTATTTCAACTGGAGTCGGTACAAAAGCTCTAACGTTGCCAGCATTCGTCGGTATCAGGTTTCCAAGGATGGAGATTTAGTTCCAACGAAGAACGGTATTTCGTTCGGTGAAAGATGCTACGATGCGCTGAAGGAACTAATGCAGGACTTGACACTGTTGAAAAACATCGTCAGCGTGGATGAAACTGTGGGACATGTAGACGGAAACAAAAAGGGGTTGGAATATGAAACCTTATGCGATGACATTGGGGATGCTTTAGTTAAACTGCTGGGTGAGCGGTGCCCAGATGGCGGATTAATTTTGCGTGATGATCGTTTGACGGACACTGAATGGGAGGAAGCGGTTCAACGCCTTTTGGACTCGCGTGTAGTGCATGGAATTCTGTTTGGATATGAAGAATTGAGCCCAAAGCAAGCTCTGAGTCTGGACGTTGCAAGCTACCTCAAAACCAACGAAGACCAGCTCCGCAACCAGGTAAACTCCTGCCTCACTGATTTCTAAATGACTGAAAATCCTGACTAGCTGTTTATGCAGGTTTCTTGAATCTTGAATCTTTTTTTCTCGTTGTTCTGTGTTGCTTATAATTATGTTTCTTGTGTTTTTTGTATACGTTACCATCAAGAGAAAGTACTTGCGCGTTTTCTGTCACTGTTTCATTGTGTTGCTTAGTCTTCTATATTTGTTGTTTGCGTTTGCATATATATAGCGTTACCCTAAAGGAACAATATACAGTATGCATGGATTGCATGGAAAAATATATCATTATTCGTGATGCTAATTTCTTTGCATGTTTATTTCATTAACCGTTTACATATCTGACGGAGGTAAGAGCCGTCAATAAGTGTTGTATTAATATCAAAAAAAGAGTTGACATATTGACAAACCATCTTGTCGTTGCTTATTCGATTATCGGTAAATAAGTGCACAATATTAGTAAACGTTTCACCACTAGCTCTTCTCAGAACAAAAAACAGGCAATATTGCCCACATACAGTGCTGTATTCAGATTGAAACTGCTCGGACTGGCAAACCACAGTATTGTTTTCTGTAAGTGTAGAAAAATTGGTAGAATATGACTGCAAAGGTCTACCATATGAGTCGAAAACCTCCATAATATCGTCTTTAGTTTGGTATAACGCGATCCAGTGTTCCCCGTCTTGGTCTGCTGGGTCCGTGTTTACAACACACGCACCGGGGTACGGTGTCAGGTTTGTTGGTGCTCTGTCGCTAGCATAAACCCCTCTGAATATTGGGGCCGTTACCGGATTTCCGTGTAGACAGTTAGCAATTTGTTCCGTATTCATGTTGAAAAGTCGGCAATTAATTGCCGGTGCTGATTATCTCAATAATGCTGTCATATATTAACATGCAAACCATCATAATCGTTGAACTCAACGGTTTACTGAAGGCTACCGATACACTTAGATTGCCTTGCTTTATCAGCGTTAGTGGGCCACGACCAGTGTGTCCTGGTGTCAAATCAAATCCGAATATGGTGAACCCTTGGTTGTATTCGGTACGGTCAAAAGGCAATCCATTTTGTAAACTGGGTCGATGTCCCAACGTGTCCAGCAATCCATCATAGCATTCCAACGACATATTGCGCTCGAAATCGCACATGTACGGTTTTGTTGGATAGCTTTGTCCGTCGACTTCGACACTGATCTGCGTAATACCGAAGTGTTGAAAGTTAAAGGGATTTTTCTTTAGGGTGCCATGAAAGTCTTCACTGTCGACAAATCCGATAAAGACAACTTTAGGAATTTGTCCGATTTGAAGATTACTAATCACGGTGCTTTGCGTTTTCTGGGGAATATCAGACACACGCATTACCACACGCTCAATGTGATATTTGACTGTTTTTTTCAATAACTCTCCCGCAACTGCTGTTAGAAAATCAGGTGAAGGTATATATCGCCGCACGGCTAGTCGAGCATTCCGAATAAACGGCTTAAACGATTTGGTTGCATCTTTATCCCACGTACGCAACGCGAATTCCGGTCGACTCACCACTAGACGTATGTTCAGTGGTACACCCGTGCACAAAGGTTTGCTCTGATCAAATAGATCGGAAAATAGCTTACCGGACAGCTGCACGTATTGTCCTGTTTGAAACAATGCTTTGCGGTTTTTTTCACCTTTGTTGAGAGCTTCGTCGTTGAATTTAGCGGGCGTATCTAAGTAGAATGCAGCGGAAGTTAGCTGGCTGTCCTGGGCTTCTCTAGCGTATGACAGTAATGATTCAAAGTAGGCACGGTACGGGTAGAATGTTGCCGCGTCCGAGATCAAGCGGTTGGCGACCGTAACGTGACAGGATGAAAACAACGAGTGTAGGAAATTATTAACTGGTGCAACTCCATCTTCAGCAGTTACCAACTCCCAATCCCCGGTCGTCTTGCGTACTTTAATACCGACCTCTATTTCAAGCATCATATCGGCTAGGCTGAGCAAACCTGCCGTACTAGGTGGAATGAAAAAATTGATGTCGCCGGCTGATCCGTTATCGGTCAAAATTGTTGTGGGGTTGAGTTTTTCGTGCTCTGTACGCCAACGGTCCGTAAGAGTAGCCGGCAAGGCAAACAGCTGATTCTCCAGTTGCATCGCCGGCTCCGAATGTTCCATCATAAGCATCGCCATCTTTTACAGAAAGTCAGGAATACTGGTCGGAGGTATGCGTTTAACACGATGAACTTTTCGCTTAAATCGTCGCTTTTTACGAACTCCTTCACCTTCTTGCAAAGCTAGACGTTTACCAATTGCCGCACCTGCCCGGGACGTTACTTCTTTAATAGCCCCGGTCGCCGCATCTTGCAGGTGAGGAGTAGCGGCTTCTAAGGCTGCTTTGGCATGAGGCGCGGCTTTGCGTAAGATCGGTTTAGCAAAACCAGTAATCTTTGCCAATAAATTTTTCAAAATTTGAGGAAATCCAGAACCGTTTTGCAGGGTTCCTCGATACCGAATAAGGGCACTTCCACCCGTTTGATTCACAAACACGTTGTCATACCGCCGAGGGTCGGGTACGTAAGCTACTAGTGGCATCTTCAGTACAGTCGTTGAGGACGGAAGTGCAGCTTGACCAATGACTTTCCCGTTTGGAATTTAGCGTCGTCACCTAGGTCATTAGCAATAGTCAGATGAATGGTCTCAAAATGTTGGCGCAATACTGGAACGTAATGGGGAATATCGAAGCGTGCTTCCACGATCTGGTTGACCTCTCCTCTAATAGGTACAGCACGCAGAAACTGCGCCGCGGTATCGCCAATCAAGCTATAGTCCGCAACGTCGCTGTACAGGAACAAGCTTTGATTTCCCAGTAAAGTGTTAACGGGGCGTTCCGAAAGAAAAGTCGTCAGTTTAGGGGGAGGTGCTTTAGTGAAAAATGATAGGTACTTAATACGACTTGTTTTCGATTCAAATGGAAACGGGCCGCGTGCATTAGAATGAATTTCCTCTGGGACGTCCGGTTTGTATTCACTTTGCTCAAATCCTAATATTTTTTGCAATGTAACGGATCCTGGGGAAGGAAACTGAAACACGATCGTTACCGATTGAAAGTTTAACGCGATGATTAGTAGCCGTCAGGAACTGCAAACTGAAGGCCTTGTTGTCATGTAAAGCACTCTTGTCTTGATGAACCACATCGTCCACCATGTACGGCCCAATTACCGGTACAAGATTATTGATAGTTTCCAATAATAAATCGGCATTTTTATAGTTTCCTGGCGGAATGACCAAAATCTCTTGGTGAACTACATAGTCCGCGCTGGTGATAAAGTCGTCCTCTTTTTTCACACGAAATTCTTTAACTATATCCAAATGTATTTTCTGTTCAGTTGGAAGAGTGTAGAATGAATTTAGATACTGCAGTTCCACCAGCGCCATTTCCCACTTTCCCTTGAGGGTAATGGGGTGTTTTAGTTTTGTGGTCCAGTTTGATGGAGTGTTTGTCGTGTCAGTAGCGACATCGCTTGGTAGCGTTATGTAGAATGGGGCTCCCTCAAACATGATGTTAACACCCAGGAATCGTGTTCGGGTCCGTATCCTAACCAGCGCACCAGAGCTTTCTTTCCTCGTCGTTTAATAACAAAATCAATCGCGTATTTTTTGTCTTTTGGGTTTGAAACAAGGGACAGTTCGTGTTCGTAAAATGTCCCTTTAATAGATTCGCCTTGATAATCTCGCACCCGGTACACAGGAACTTTATGCGGAATAACTTGATGAACGTAGAACACTTCTTCCTTAAACCGGTAAGTGTAACCCTTTTCTACTTTTGTCTTGTGCACCGCAATGCGTACAGCGTCACCAACCTTGAAACGAGGTTGTCTTAACTTTGATTTTGTACAAAGCATTGTACACGCGCAAAGAGTTGTCCTGGCTTACATCTACTGGCCGCAGACCGTGAGCACGATGTGCAGAATGATTGTACGAGTACACAAGATCTTGCAACTTGTCAATATAACGTGTAGATAAACGTGATCGGAACAGTCGAAACATTCGTGTCTTGATAGTACGGATCACCCGCTCCGCCATTGCACATTTTACATCTTCGTTTTCCGAAGTAAAAATCATGATATTCTTTTCCTTCAGAAATTTCTTTACGGTTGTGTTCAACATCTCCGTTCCTTTGTCGTACTGCAACTTTTCAGGCTCGCCCAGATCAATAAATGCCTTGCTTAACGCTTCCTTCGTGTCAGTTCCAGTCTTGGTTTTTAACGGTTGCACACTCAATTTCTTGGAGAAACAATCAATGACGAAAAGTAAGTACTTATATCCATCGTTTTCTTTTGCATATTTAGCCAAGTCAGCCAGATCAGCTTGGAACTGCTGTTGCAGGTTGGTGACAACTATGCGGTTGCGCGGAAAGCGCTTCCGCGACTCCTTGTTGACAGTGTACGCATCGATTTCCTGCAGTATTTCCTGTGCTTTCCGTTTGTTGGCTCTTGTCTTTAAGCTGTTTCGAAATCTTTGGACGCCGCCAAGACCGCCGGGGTCCCGCGGGTTGAGATATTTCTTCATTAGCTTCTCCATTATTACAACAAGTTGATACGCAGTTGATCTTAAATATTCGACACAAGCGTAAGACTGTTGGAATAAAGCCAGACATTATGGTAAAGTAATCCACCGAATTCTGTGAGCACCGCTACCTTTCTGGACCGTACGAGAACGTAATTTTCGCTTTGGGTCGTCTACAGATATATCGGATTGTCGCTTTTGTCCTTTTAAGGGGGTAGAGAGAGGAAACAATGGAATTCGTTTTTGCTTGCGCGGTTTTGGATGCTCTTCTTTGCCTTTGCGTTTTTTTCCCTTGGTAGGAAAACTCGCTGGAAAAAGTGCTAAACGCTGACTTTTTGCCGGCGATTGTTGATCCGTATCGTCTGAGAGGTTTCGTTTTTGACCTTTCACAGGTAATGACTCTGGAAACAATGGCAGGCGTGGTAGCTTCTGGGATGTGTCGCTGACTTCCTCGTCAGTCCTTTTTCTTTTCCAGCCTTGACTTCTGTTAAATTCTTGAGGGTCTGCTAACGGTGTTGGTTGTGTAACAGGATCAGTGGACAGCTCCAGAGGATTTTCGTCCGGTAAGGCTTTCTGCTTAAGTGCCAGGAAACGCTCTAGAATGCTTGTTAGTTGGTCGGCCTTTTGGTATTCGTTTAGATCGTTTCGGTGAAGCGTTTTGGCAATAAGCTCATCTAAGGATACAACTGCTCTAGCTTCAGGCGGTTCTTTGTTGATTTGCAATTTTTCATGCATTCGGTCTTCCATGATACGTCGAGGAACAATGTAGTACTCATCCATTTCCAATTAACGAAGTCAGGACTCCCGCGAGAACTGGTAAAATTGCTCCAATAAATCCTCCCTGCTGCAATATCTTACGCTTCTCTTTCAACGGGTATCGTCGTAAAGCAATTAGCTTTAATGCTTTTCGATGGCGTTTGCACTTGTCCATCTGTGATGGGGAAAGGGCGACTGTATTTTTGACTATATTGACAGCAATCTCTTCCAGAGCTTTCATCTGGGGTTTGCTCATATAGCTCATCAAAACACGTCGCTGCCGTGGCTTCAGTTTCTGCAGTGTTATTATAAATGGCGCCAAAGATTTTACGCGTTCAGACATTTTGGAAGTGCTGAAGAACCGCGATGCAAATAAATCCTCATCTGTTCGTGTGGAAGCACATGGGAGCGTATCCGTAAATAGTCTGGGCAGGTTGACCTTAAGTCCAATATAAGCGGTTGGTAGGATTGCGAAGTAACTTTATTATAGGCATCCACAAGGTGTTTTAATCCCGTTTGCCTAGCCAAAAGTGCTATCTGATTAACATCTCTGACATTTTTAAAAAGTACCAAATATTGCAAATTCAGGGTTATATCCCGCATGCTTTTTCCTTGCTTAAATAGGTTTTGCAGTAGAACAATAACTGAAACATTTTTATGGTGAATGCCACGTGTGAAAAGGTCAGCGCATCGCACATCCTGGCAAATGTCGGTAGCCAGGTCGTCGATGACCACCAACGTCTGCCGATTTGTATCAAGCAATTCCAAAGTGCTGAAAAGTTCGTCCAAACCCTTAATGAATTCAATAATAGGGATTGTAGATTGGAGAGTCTCAAAGCTTTTTTGCCAGGCCCCATAACAGTAAATAATTTTTTCTGGTACTTTATCAAAAACATGATCTCGTTGTTCGATTAAAGAGAAAACAAATTGTGACTTTCCCGACATTGTAGGACCGCAGACGGACATACCAAACGGTGCGCAAAAGCGCGGATACTCTTTTAATGTGTTATACATCTTACAGGCAATGGACTGCACTGCTTCATGCACAAACTTAAATATTCACTTTTATGAAAAAAACAGCTTGATGACCTTTCTAATTCCAGTTCGACATATGGGACAATTTTGAACTTTTACTGCACAAGACAGACAACATACTGCATGACCGCATGGATCGAATACCGCTGTTATATTCTGTGCAATACATATTCGACACTCTTTGTACAGATCACTTTCTTCATTATTCTCCGCTTTTTTCTTCACCGAATCCTTGATTTGCTGTATGGCCTCTCTTAATTCTTCGACGGTTTGAAAACGTTTGACAGGTTGTTGACGCTTTTCTTTTAGGGCTTGCACAATATGCGTGTAATGGCACCCACTGTTCAACGCTGACATAACAATGTACTCGTCGTGATCGTCTTCGTCTTCTTCAAAAATCCACCTGTTACGCTCCAAACCATGCAGGCGTTGAACGTCGGAGATAAAAGCTTGACCTTTCTGCTCTATTAGGTGCGGACACTCTGGTGAAAACTTTGCATGCTCGGTCCACGGATCGTCATCAGTCTCCCAACGTTCGATGCGTTGCCCACATGAAAAGCATTGCGCACAGTCACCCATTTCCAGAGAAAAAAAACCAGCACTGGCAAAATCTTTAGGGTGCTGAGCTAAATGATCAGGCCAACTGGCAAATGTACTAAACCGGTCCCGGTACTGTCGCATTCGAGGCACATAAACATCCTCTTCCTTAATACCCGCCACGAACGTACAGCCAGGGCTAACTCGCCTGTGTTCGAACAAGGGATTGTCGCCGATAGCCCACTGGGCGAGACAGCATTACAGGATACACATTTAACTCGATCGTCAATTCCTGT